AAATTAGGGAACGTTACCGATTACAGGGTACAAGGGATAGTGAGAGAAATTGAAATTGGAGAGGTTTGGTTGAGGTTCACCTATTATGAAAGAAGCGGAGGCCCAAGTGCCGGAGGAGGATCTGAGGGCCGGGCGACCTTTAGAATCAAGGGCACCGTCGACGGTGTCGGGTAGCAGAGGAGTTGGCGGATCCGTGGAGGTGTAGTGTAGGAGCTCCATGATTGGAATAAGCGTTGAATCAGTAACACTGCAAATCAAATTGAAGATGGAACCTCCACCCTCCAACAACTCTGAATTAGAGAAAGAGAAAGTAGTGTGTTGCGTGCGTCGAAGTTGAAAACTTGATACAAAGGAGAGAAAATGGAATCCTAAACGCAGAAGAAAAGAGAGGGAAGTGGGATATGGGATATAGGCTCTCGTCCTGAGAATATGACGAATATCCTCGTACCCGCATATTGCATATATTAAGATAATTGTTTTTTCTTATATATCATATATTATCCATTTGAGTTGGGTCATGAGATTTTTCTAGACCTAACTCTGTTTGGGAATAAAAATACCGTAGACACGTGGAGGACGCTCATTGGTGTCTAAAATTAAAAGAAGTATTCCAAGTCCACCTCGAACCTGTCGAGGAGACTGGACTTGCCCGTAAACAAGGCTAAGTGTAAAAAGCCCTAGTTCGACCTGGACGGGTTCGATCTGCTCAAACCCGACAGGTTCGACATGAAAAAGACAAAGGTAACCGCCGGTCGTGAGTACTGTCGAACCCACCACCTATAAATAGAGGGTATCATTTCATAGTCAGGTATCGAATCTCACCTCGAACTTAATATTGAGTCCGACCTGAACTGACTTGAGCATTGGAGAGTTTGCCCTCTTGTGCAGGTTCACTCTTGAGTTCAAGTCGAGCTGGGGACCGGGTTCGAGCTTGGTTCGTCAAACAGCGTTGTGCAATTCTTTGCATAAACATTTGGCGCCGTCTGTGGGGACGACAATTTAAGTCATCCCAATCCAGGAAAAATAAGCAAAGATGGTTCAACCAGTAAACTCAACCAACACAGCGGACCGAAGAGCTCTGGCTGCTAACGATAGCCACCAGAGAGAGGTCGGGGTAGAAGTGGCAGAGGGCCAGATTCAGGAAGGCCTAGGGACTGAGCCGCTCCGTAGGTCGGCACGCATCACCATGCCTGTTCTACCGCCGGCACATCCAAAACCGTCTAAGGCCAATCGTGACCGAGGTGGTGCCTCGAGAAGAACCACTCGAGGAGCAGCTCTAGCTCTTAATAGGGAGAACTTTGATGCACTCCAGAAAGAAATGGAGACAATGCGCACCCAAATGCGCACCATGGAAGAGATGTACAATGAAATGGTGCAAGCTGTTGGTGCCGGGTCTCGATCTGAAAACCGAGCGGTGCGCGACGAGGTGCGTGAGCAAGGAGGTCTTCACCTCAACCCAGTCGATGAAAAGCACCCCAGAGGTGATGAAGATGAGGAGTACACTCGCCAGAGAGGCGATCTCCGTGACCATCTCAACAGAAAGAGAAGCTCGTCCCTCCGAAGAGGAGGAACTCCAGCATGCTCGCACAAGAACTCCAACCAGTAAGCCGAATCTTCTTACAACCCAATAGTTCCTGAGGGAATGATTACAAGGGAAGAGTTCGACCAGCTTAAAAGCAAATTTGATGCTCAGGTTAAAGCCTTAAAGACAAGGTGCAAGGTCAAAGGGAGTGCATTTGATGATAGCGACTTGGGAGAATCGCTATTCACCTCGGACATCTTGGAGGCTCTCATCTCTCCAAAGTTCAAAACTCCCACCATGAAACCATATGATGGGTCTAAGGACCCAAAAGACTATGTTGAGGTCTTCAAAGGCCTCATGGATTTTCAAGCGGCAATGAACGGCATTAAATGTCGCGCCTTCCAGATCGCGCTTACTGGCAGCGCGCGCTAGTGGTACAGAAGATTGCTGGCTAGGTCGATCTCGACCTACTCTCAGCTGAGGAAAGAATTCATCAGTTAATTCTCTTCTCGGCACTATGACAGAAAGACAGCGACCCATCTCACCACCATCAGACAGAAGGAGGGCGAGACGCTTAGAGAATACGTCACAAGGTTCCAGGAGGAGCAGCTGAAGGTCGTGCACTGCTCCGATGATTTGGCCATGTGCTACTTTCACACTGGCCTGGCCGACGAGACTCTTACCGTGAAGCTTGGAGAGGAAGGTCCAATCACCTTCGCTGAGGTTTTGCAAAAGGCGAAGAAAGTTATCGATGGACAGGAGCTTCTCCAGACCAAGACTGGCCGGCCAGAAAAGCAGATCGACAAGAAGAAGTCCGGCTAAGACAAAAGGAAGCCTGATTCCAAGTTAAGGATAAGGGGTCGTCCTCCTCCAATAGCCGAACTGATTACCGCAGGTCGGACAGCAGTCTCAACCGAAGCCGACCGTACGAACGTTATACTCCTACCACTATCCCCATATCTGAAATACTTACAAACATTGAAGAGACTGGGATGGAGAAGCTCCTCAAGTGACTGGAGAAGCTCCGAGGAGACCCAAAAAAACGCAACAAAGATAAGTATTGCCGTTTTCATCGTGATCACGGCCATAACACATCGAGTTGCTGGGAACTCAAACGCCAGATTGAAGACCTCATTCAAGATTGCTACTTCAAAAAAATTGTTGGCAAACCGAGGTCTAACTCGGTAGAAAAGAAAGAAGAGAGGAAGCGTTCAAGGACGCCACCTCGCCGAGATGACCGACCTGCGATCATCAACACCATTTTCGGAGGCCCAAGAGGGGGCCAGTCTGGAAATAAAAGGAAGGAATTAGTTCGCGAAGCCAGGCGCGAGGTGTGCATCATTAGAGAGCAAAGACCGACCTACTCCATTACCTTCGATGATTCCGACCTGCAGGGGGTCCACTTGCCCCATAATGACGCATTGGTGATCGCTCCTCTCATTGATCATGTCCTGGTCCGAAGAGTATTGATAGATGGGGGCGCATTTGCCAATATTCTGTCCCTTACAACATACCTCGCCTTGGGATGGACCAGGTCACAATTGAAAAAGAGTCCAACACCCTTGGTTGGATTCTCTGGAGAATCGGTCTCCCCAGAAGGGTGTATTAACTTGCCGGTTACAATAGGGCAAGACGATACACAAGTCACGCAGATGACCGAGTTCGTCGTGG